TTCAGAAAATTATTTTGACTACAACATGATTTAGTAAAAACAAACATTTATACACACACACACACACACCAAATAATTTGATTTCATACATTATCGATAAAATACAAAAAATGATATTCAATTTAACCATGAAATTAATTTCCCAATGTACAAAACAAAATCAAGACTAACGTTTATTATAAATAAAAATTAAAAAGACCCAAAAATAGTTTTTCAGAAAATAATTAAATAGAAACTGCCATTAACACAATTATTTTAGAATAATTTTGTAGAAAAATACAATTGAATAAATCAATCGAACTTACACAATCTGCGTAATTAGGGTACCTTGAAAATATAAATTTTGATTGTCTAATTATTTTTTTTAATTATCCACGATTTGAGTAATTAAATACACAAAAAATGAATAATATTAATTAAATAATATATAAAAAAAAATTGTCATTAACACATTTTTTTAGAACAGTTTTGCAAGATGCATAATTAATTAATGTTGTCGATGTTTCTATAATTGTAGTAAATATCTATGGATTGAATAAATAAGTCGGATTTACACAATTTTCGCAATTAAGGTATATAAAAAATGTATGTCACAAAAGAATTACACGAAAAATATAAAACACTTATTAAACAATAAGTTATACAATTTAGTTGGAATTTTCTTTACCAAAACACATAATTGATATTGCAGCAGAAAATCCCATATTTAGGTAAATCAGTCAATTCACATTATTTGAGTAATTAAGGTATCTTAAAAATGACTTTACCATAAGTGATTATTTGAAATATACCATAAATTATTAAATTAGTTCGAGTGATTAAGGTATCTTAATAATGAATATTTATATGGCTTAATTATTTCCTTAAATAATGAACCACAATTACTTTAAGTTATAAGTTGAAATATACCATAAATTCTTAAATAATTTTCCCAAAACAGTAAATAGATTGTTTTTGGAGAGAAATAGCTACTATTTAAAAAATAATATATTCATTAATATTTGTAAATTATAAATACTCATTAATAAATATCTATAAATTAAAATATGGAACCATAAGTAATACAATTTACCTATATTAATTTATTTAAAATTTAAAATATAATATAAAATTTAAATTGTGCAAAGTTGCATAAAACGTGTCTATTTAAAATTAGTACACAACCAGTGCACATAACTAATAATAAATACCATTATATTTATTTCTAACTAAGTGTCATTTTAAAATTTTTATTTAAAAATTCTATTTGAATACAATGTGGTTTCATAAAATAATTATACTTGTAAATTTTATTATATATTTAAAAAGAAATTTTAATAATAAGAATAATATTAAAATTTATATTATTTTATTAATTTAAATAAATTTATTTTTGTATAAATTAATTCAAATAAAAAAAATTACGTAGTTGAGTAATTTAAACTATAAATTTATTAACTATTTTATTTACATCCAAATTAATATTGACCAATAAATTATGAGTTATTTATTTGCATTTTAAATTCGGAACTCAATGTTGGACTACAATTTGTAAAGATTAATATGAAGGACATAGTAAATCAATAAATATATATTTTTAGCAATGCCTTAGTATAAATCCGTTCCAGTTATATTTAATTTGCATTAGTATAAATCATTAAATCCATGTACATAAAAGTAGATAAGTATGATTTTATATTTATAATATTATAAAAGTAGATAAGTATGATTTTATATTTATAATATTTGTTTTATAGTTAAGGAAAATATTATCTATGAATAATTATAATTTACTATATTATCGTGTTTGAATTTAAGAG